AACTGAAAAGTTCATATCACAGTGATATATGTGCACCCATGTTCATAGCAGCACAGTTTTCAATAGCTAAATCTTGGAAGCAACCAAAATACCCATCAACTTCAGAGTGGATGAAAAAGATGTGGTTTGTTTATACAATGGAATGTTACTCACTTATAAAAAAGGATGACCTTGAGGCCCTTATAGGTAAATGGAGGCAACTTGAGGCTATCCTCATTAGTGAAATAAATAAGAATCATACTTATAAATATCACATTGTCTCTCTGATGTAAAAAGTAATAAAAACTATAGGAATAATAAGTTCCAAAATGTGTAATAGCTATTATAAAAAAGAAAGGGAAGGAAAGTGCTCTAAAGAATATAACTGCATGTATGTTTAAGTGTGTAAGACAGATGACCACATTACTAAGTTTTTGTTGGATCATTGAACAGAATGGTTTCACTGTCATTGTTTGACTGTCCACTTTCTATGCTCTAGTTTTGGGACTTGAACAACTATTTCTAAGATGACAATATGTAATTTATCAACTAGTGATTTCTTAGCATTAATTTCTTTAGAAATTCTGTATTATTTCTACACTTTTTTCTGTATTGCTATTTTTTCTTTAAATAAAAAAACTAAATAAAAAACTGGTTTATATTGAGTGGGTCTTGGACTTGAATCCACAACCACACTTGCTCCAGGTTTCTTTCCGCTGTACCAAATGGGGTTATATGTTACGGGACATGATATTCCTACTGTTCTCGGGAGGGGCTGGATACATTTGCAATATGGTGCACAGGTCCGTGATTCTTGTATCTCTGAGAAGATGAGCAGGTGGGCTGCCGCTTCCCCTGAGCACGCACCAAGGGCTGGGAAAATCCTGCAGAGTGGAACCCTAAGGGAGGGGTGTTTACCCCTGTGGAGCACTGCACCCTGCAGGGCATGCCTGGCTTTACCTCATACGTGCTAGACACTGAGCCCCGGTGGTAGTGAAGGACCCCGAGATTCCTTATGCTGCTTCTGGCGACCTCTCCAACCTCCTTCTTACCTGCATCAGTAAGGAGAGCTTTTACCTCAACAAGCAGAGTCCCAGTGTGAAGAGGGTCAGACAATGGGGATGTCACCCTCTCAAAAGCTGCAGGGAAGGAGCTGTGGGTGGGCCCAAGCACAGGTGCTCAGGAACTCAGCGATATCCTCAGCTACTGCTCTTTCCGTTTCCGTTCTGCGGACAGCAGCAGCAGCTTTGCTCCAAGGCTGATGTCACCACAGTCACACAGGGCTGCTGGTGGCAGCCAGGACGGAGCACTGTCCTGTTTGCCTTTACTGAGGAGGGAGAGAAGACTGTTCTGTGAATCTTGCCCTGTGTCTCCTCGTTTGGTCTGAGGTTATGGCTGAAGTCTGGATCCATCCCTGGGAAGTTGCATTCCCTGGTTAGACGGGGCCTTCGGGGATTCATCGTGGAATTCTCTCAAGGATGACGTGGCTTCCTCTGAGTCACACTGACTGCATAGCAGATGAGTTGACTCATGAGTAAAACCAGGTTCTGTCAGAAGCCTGAAAGAACCATAGGGCAGCCAAGGGCATTGCTACACGCAGACACCGTCTCACCATTGAACTCACTGGGAAGCTTCTACAAGACAACGAATATGGACTGAAAGAAGCCAGGTGCCTTTCATCAAGACAATGGGAGAAGACCCTAGGGCCATTTTGGAGATCTTGGAGACTGCCCCTGCCATCCTCAGAGTGCTGGGACCTGAGAGGGCACAGTGATTTCAAGGCAAAGACTTGGGGCATGCATGAAGACTTAGGGCTCAAAGCCCAGGGCTTCTACAAATTTCTTCTCCCTGAATTCCAGCACAGCACCCTCCCCATCACCCCACGGCTCACATAAACACACGTGTGACCTGGGCCGCTTCTTTGGAGCACATACATGGTAGGTTTTGTGGGTGTCTACATGGTGCTCACTTGCCCAGTCTGCAGTGTGTGAGCTGTGAGGCTTGGCTCCCCTCACCTAGTTTGCAAAGAATGCCTGGACATCCTGCAGGGCGGCTGCAGAGTGAAGCTCCAGCCAGGCAGCACCTTTGGGAGCTAGAGGTGCAGGGATGGCCCTAAGACCCCTGAGCAAGGGAGCAATCAGAATTCAGTGCTGCCCGGGACAGTCACAGACACAGGGCTCCATCCTGGAAGGGCTGCACCATGGGGTCAGGATTCTCTGAGGCCTCAAGGACCTTGTGTGTCTCAAGGCGAAACCTCAAAATTGTGTATGGTTTTCTTCAGTGGGTGTTTTACTTCTCGGGCCCTGTGACCCTTCTCTTCTGCCTTCTCTCCCCATTTTCAAATGAAGATGTCTATCCTGTGCCTGGGCTGCTGTCATGTTTTGCAGCATAGACAGCATGTATCCTCATGTGCTCACAGATGGATTGGGAATTTTCTTCGCATAAATCCCACTTGATTCTCTCCCGGAGTGACTTAGACATTCCGATGAGATCCTGGGCTTAGATCTCAGAGCTGGTGCTGGAGTGCATTGACATGTGGAGCTACTGGGATCAAATGACTGCGTCTGGTAAGAGAGGAGGACAGGGATTGTGAGCAGAAAGCTGCGAGCTGAACATTGTGTCCCATCGAAAGTGCATGTCCACTGGGACAGCAGCGCAAGGTGGGAGCTTAAGGAGAGGGGTAGCCTTGGGGACTCGCTCTCCATGGGTGGAAACAGCACCTAAAAGGGCCCCTATTGTTCCACTGTCTTTCTCCACATGAGGACACAGTGACAGGGTATCGACTTGGAAGCACAGAGTCGCTCTCCCCACACTCCATACTGTCAGCAGCACAGTCAGGGATTTTCAGCCTCCAGGACTGTGAGGAATAACTTCCCGTTCTTTATAAATTTCTCAGCCTTGGGTATTTTGTTAGAGCAGCAGGAAGAGCCTGACACTGCTTCATCCACACCTGCTCACTGTCGGCTTCCTCAGCGCCAGAGCCTGGGTTGGGCATGGCCAGTCCGTGCCGTGTGAAGGACAGCAGGGTGGTGCATCACCTCGGAGAGGAGACCACAGTGGGAAGGAAAGAGCTGGTGAAAGACGTGAAGAGGCAGTGCCTCCTGCACCAGGGTGTAGAGGCCAAGCCTAGGAGCAGGGTTTTCTAACTTATGGTTGAAGTTCTGTTGAGTCCTGGTTGGGCACAGAGGCCTGAGAACTTCCAGGGATATGACGCGTGGGTGACAATGTGCCCCCACAAAGCAGGGATCTGCACCTAAGTGAGGTCGTTTCCTCAGGTTCAGACACCACCCCTGGGCCCCGGAAGACACCAGCAACAGGTTCGGGCCAGGAGAGGAACGCTTGCTTTGGAAAGGTGAATGAGGTTTTCATTCATAACACTCTTCACACATTGTTAACTGCTGCTGTTCTGTTGACTAACGTGTGTTCCTTCTTCTAATGAGATATTTCATCCATAGGAGCGAGGAGCAGTGAACAGGGAAGAACACAGTTTTCCCTTGCCTGCTGGATTGTGGGTTTTCCTCAGGCGAGCAGCCCATGTCTTCCTCGCATGTCTTTGTATTGCAAATATTTCCGGATATGTTTCTCTCGACAGTGAGATGCTGGAGACAGACAAATCAATGGAACAAAATAAATGGCCCAAAAATAGCTTCCAGTACATATGAGCATTTAATCCATGATAAAGGGGCAGCACACAGCCACGAGAATGGGAAAGATCATTTAACAAATGGTGCTGGGACCTCTGGATAGCAGTTTGGGGTGAAATCAATTTCAGGCCCTCACTTCAGATCATGCAGGGAAATCAATTTCAGATGGACTGAAGACTTGCACATAGAAAATCAAACCTTAGAAAAACTTAAGAAAAAGAGAAGCGAATAAGAATTTAATCCCCAGAGGAGAGTTTTCCAAGCATAAAAGAGAAGAAAACACAGAGATTGAGAGTCCTTGATTCACAATTTTATTTTAAAATTCCAAACATCGAGATATACAAAAGATAAAATCATTCTTAAAATAATACTTACAGTATGTACAAAGTCTTAAATTTTTCTATAAAGAGCCCACATCAATCAAAATAAAAGACCAGTACCCATGGACCAATAAATGGGCAAAGCTATAAAAGTTTCACAAGAGGAAAATATATCTGATAAGCAAACCTGAAAAGATCTAAGCTCAGGGGTAAGGAAAATGGTAAATTTTTAAAATAAGAAGTGACTTTTTAAAGCCATAGAATTGACAAAAAGTGTTTTAAAATAAGAATATTCAATATTGATCATTATACATGCATTCATGTGATTCTTTTGTAAAACATTTTAATAATCTGCACCAGGACACTTGAAAATATTCCAAATAACTTTGGGCTGCATTTCCGGTTTTGAGAATCTAAGCCTAAAGGGTCTTTAAATGTTAAGGGTAGGACGAGAAGCAGAAGGTGAGGAAGTGATTAGCTGCAGATTCACTGCAGCATCATTGAAAATAATAACCGATTATAAATATCACTGCTCAGAATAAAGAATGGAGCTGTAGATGACACTCACGCATGCTTCAGACTGTGCTAGTGGGTGTACTATTCAGTGCTGCAGGAGGAAACAGGTGCAAATTAGAGTGACTTGATAACTGTAGGAAAGAGACTATTTACAAAACATGGACAGAATATAGGAAAACTTCCAAGATAGGCTGAACCCCAGGGCTGGGATAGAATCCCTGTCACTGGCACCAAGCCCAGGAGGAGTGGGGGGAGACAGCAGCCCTGGAAAAAAGCTGTGGGAGAAATCCACCTTGCAGGAGCCACCACCTGCTGTACACAGTCACCCCATAGCCACCGCTGGGGAGGACCCAGCGGGACACCTGTTCCCAAGCCACCGGCCCTCTTCCTGCCAGAACATCCCAAGGATCTCACGCTAGTGAAGCGGATCAAAGAAGCTTTGACAGCACCCCTAAGGAGTGCAAGAAATGCATCTAAACGCTAAGTCCTGGTCAGGGTTGCGGGGTTAGTAGTAATCTTGTCTTCTGCTCTTATTTTTTAGGTTTTAGAGTTGACAGCGTCCACATGGTGTCCGGCACAGCACGGGAAGCCATAAATCAGTGCTCAGCCTCTACTCCTGCCCATCACACTGCTGTGCCCACTGTGTGCCCACATGGTGAGGTCCAAGCCACATCAGCCCCTGTACACAGGGCCCAGGTTGAAGACAGCCTCAGAGCCCTGGCCTCAGGACGCATCCTTCCCTCCGTGTCTGCTCTGGCTGTGGGCTGTGATAATGGCCGCTCCACCCTCTTCCCATCCCTCTCACATTCTGCCAGTATCTCAAGAATACGGAAACCCAGGCCAGATTTCCTGCAGTGGAACCTAAGTCTCTCTCGAGAGATCTGATTTCACCAAGCCGCCACAGTTTTCTGTTGACCCAGATTACTGGTGAGGAGAAACCAGCAGGTGAGTCAGCAGACACCTCAGGCTCTGGACACGATTTACAGGATGGCGGAAGTCCACCTTCCCATGGGGATCGTGTTGACCTTGCTGTCCAGGAGCCGATGCACATTCTCATTTTGGGTTTTTTCAATACAACATGTCCTGAAAGGTCAGAGGGTATCTCAGCTAGCACATTGCCAGGACTAGGCCTGTACTCAGAGGAAACATGAGTCTCCAGGCACAGAATCTCCACACCCACCATGCCCAAATGACCAGGTGCAATCCTGTGGAGGTCTGCCCTCATTTCCACCTGGCAGCTGCCATCTGGCCACGCTATTAGTTTAACATATTTTTGCACCCACAGAATAGTACTAAACCTCCCAGGGTATTGCTCTCCAAGAGTGCTGTCAGTGAGTCTTTCATTACCATCCTGTTGTTCTATCAAGCTGGTTTCTTCTGGGAAGTGGAAGAACTGGGAAGATTAAAATGTGGATCTGTGGCTGTGACTACCAAGTCTTTGCTACAAAAGGGGTTCCTGGGTCAGAGAAGATGGGGTGTCACATGCTGCGGTTTCATTTTGGACCGGGAGGTTGGGTGGGCACATCCAGGCTTGGTGTTTTTCCTGCCCCTGTTAGAACAAAGACTTTCCCTGTGCAGAAAGGGAGGGAACAGTCACATCAGTGCTTCTAAGCTGCAGTTTCCTGTGTCCTGGACTGGAGGTGTGGCCCAGAGAGCAGTGTCGGTGAGGGGAAGGCCATGATACTGAGCCCATGAGCAGCTTCCTTCGACCCTGCTATGTTTGTGCTGTGCATGGGCCCGTGGGGCCAGCCTGGCAGTGTCCAGGCAGGTTAACAATGGCAAAATGTTCTTTCTGACCTCCCTGATTGATGTAGCTTCCTCTGCAGTGGATGCCCTCGGGCAGTAATGGAGACAGAACATGTGCTTTACACTCTGTACCCATCCTGGGAGGTCCAGGTCCACTCTTCCCATGCACAGATTGGTCCTCAATCTTTAGATCTGGTTCTTTTCTCCTAGAAGCTCAGAATTGTTTGCACATAGCTGATGAGTCCACGTGTAGACCTGCCGTTCCCTGTACCTCGGCCTCTGCCCACTAAAATATGTTCTTCCTTTGCTCTCTTCCAAAGAAAGCCCGGAAAAGGACAGATCTACATTACTGTGTGAATAACATCAATCAGCGTGGCAGCACCGGCTCCTGTCACTTAGCATCTCACAGCTGGACTTTGGGTCCTTACCAGGGCCCACTGATGCGCCTGAAGTAGAGAACAATTATCCCAGATGACCTCATCTCAGACCCAGCTGTGAAGCTCTTTGGGCTTCCAGGGGTTCCCGTCTTCAGTACCAATGGGGCTGTGGAATCTGCAGGCTCTGAACCGGCGCCACAGCTGGGCTTGCTGCTGAGCCTTATTTTGCTCTGAGTGTAGTTTAACACTATCATTACCATAGGCTGCTCAGCAGAGCATCCAAAGCCGACTCACATCACCCAGGTGCTGGGCATCTTCTTGCAGGAAGGGTGATGTACTAGGGCAACACAACCTCTAGAAACACAGGGCCATTGACCCTGGAGACTGCATCAGTGTGACAGATGCACAGAACTCAAAGGAGCTTATCACCTGCCTCCTGACATGAGTGGAGCTTGCAAGACGTGTGGCGTGCCTGCAACATCTGCCCCCGAAACTGCACCCTTTCTTCAACATTGAGGACTAAGGAGGCTGCTGATGAGATAGTTCCTGAATCTGAGGGAGAGGAAGGCCCCCCTGGGACCCAAAAGGGCAAAGTCACATAGCGGGGACATCCTTGACAGGAGCCTGGATCTTTGGATGAGGAGGAACTGAGCCTTCACTCAACCTATAGGAAAGGAATAGGGAAAAAATAATTGCCCAAAAGCACTGTCCCCCTCTGATCTCCTTCCCGGAGCGTGGAAGCCAGAGGTGAAAAACTACCAGGATGTCCTCACTAATCAGGCTCCTGGACACCAAGCAGGCCCAAGGACAGCAGAGGTGGGGGACAAAGGAGGTCTCAGCTGTGTGTGCAGAAGTGGGGCGTGCTCTAACAAGATAATTAATTTTAGTAACCAATGTGGGGTGAGGGCAACAAGTTAAACAGCACTGTTTTGTCAGCAGAAACATTACAACTGGCTTCATCATCTTGACAAACCTGCTTTCAAACTGAGATGGCAAACTCTTAAGAACACTATGACTTTAAATAAGTTCTTCATGGTAGTTTGGAAATAGCAAGTACTAAGTTAATTTAAAGAATAGTAAAAATATAAACTATGCAATTAGAACTGTAAATTACACTTTTCAAGTACATACAGAACATAAAATGTTTGCCAGAGTTGACCATGGAGCAGAATACAAAGCAAAGGCTCAGTGGGCTGAGTCCATCCAAAGTGTCTCCCAGGGCCATAGTGGGATTGAGGTAAATATTTAAAATGAGAAGACAGAGCTGCAGGGGAAGAGAACAAGAAGTCAACAAGAAGCACCCCCCCCACCCCTGCTGCAAATCAGTACCATGTGCGGGGCGCCAGGCCACAGGAGGGGCCAGATGCCAGCCCCTTCCAGTGCATGTGCTGGGAAACAACAAGACCCACCCCCAACCCCACCCATAAGCGACCAGCTGATCCCGAGAAACACAGGCTTCAATGCAGCTATTGAAGTGAATTCAACTTAATGCTTGCAACGTTCAGTGTTTCACTGACGCTGCAGGTCAAAGCTGGTAGTCTGATCATCTATTCAGGGGATGGCAATACCCAAGGTAGCATCTATGGGGCCTCCTTCTGAAGTGGTGGCCATTGTTGATTCCCTATTGTCTTGTTTGGAAGTCCAGTATCATTTCATTATTTTGTTTGCTTGGGTTTTATTTTGTTTTGTTTTGCTTGATTGTATTATACCTTATGGCATGAGCTGTAATTTAAAGATGGTAAGATATATTATGGTAGCCATTTTGGATTTGCTATTATCTGTTTTGAAGTATAATCATTGTTTTGTTTTTATTGGTTGTATTCTGTTATGTTTTGTGTTATTTTCACTATGACTGAAGGTTTGGGCAACTATTTCGAAGACAACAAGAGGCATTACGACAACCATTGTTGATTTCTTATTGTTTTGAAGTCCTGAGTCACTTACACTGATTCTGTTTTATTTCTTGGTTTTATTCTCTTTAAAATAAAAATTTTTAAAAATACAAATAAATAAAAATAATAAGACAATTGAAAAACTCCAGTGTGACTGGAAATTAAGCAGCATGCTCAACATAATCCTTGAGTCCAAAAACAAATCATAGTGCAAACTAGACAGTATTTTGAACTGAATGATAGTGAAAATAATTTCCACACTTAAATTGGTATTTATGCCCTGAACTGTATTTGTTAGGTTAGAGGGCACAAAACCCTGAAAATAAATGATCTACATATCCTTCTCCAAAGACCAGCAAAAGAATATATTTAAGCATAAGAAATCATTAAAAAAATAGTAATGGGAGTCATTTATTAAGTAAATTGTAAACAATGAATACACTTTTCACAGTGAAGGTTGAGTTATTGAAAGTCTAATAAAATTGAATAAGATCCCTACAGATCTCCATGAGGAGGAGAGAGAGGGTAGGAAAGGAGACTGAGAGACTCAGGTGGACGCCCAGGAAGGGCACTTGCTGGAGCACATCTCACCTGAAGAAGCAGGGGCGGGCAGAGGCTGAGGACGGTTCTGGCATTTGAACACTCCCTCTTCGCTAAGTGTCTAAAGCTGAGGCAGTTTTCACACCTACACCTCCCCTCTCGTGGCCTGGCCATGTCCCAGGGTGAGGGCCCTGTCACACCACCCTGAGAGTCCTAACCCAGAGGGACATGCGGCCTGAATTCCTGGAGAAAGAGTGTCTGGCCTAGCGTGGCTGGGCCTCCAGATCTCACGGTGAAATTAAAGACACAGACTCTGAGAGAGGCCTGGCCATCCCGGTGATCAGTGCCTTTCTCCTGGAGGTGAGCGCTCACTCTGGAACAGGATTAATTGCCTCAGGAGTGGGTCGCTTTAAAGTTGCTTTCCGACTCTTCCACAAACCTGCTTGTCCTTCTCTTTCCACCATAGCTAGGAGCTCAGCCGAAGATACACCATGCCCAGGAACATTCAAACCTTCAGATCTGCGAGCAGAAATAACCTCTGCTCTTTAAATATCACCCAGGCTTTGGCATTCTGTTGTAGAAATCTAAAATAAACAACAATAAAGGGAAACATGTATGCATTCCAAGGACTACTGGATGCCCAGTCTGATTTGATGCTGATGTCTGCAGAGCTGAGCTGCCTTCCCAGCTCTCCTGGTAGAAGAGAGTTGTGTGAGCACCAGGTAAGTAAGAGATACAAGCTCTGGAGCTGCCCACATGTGCTACGTAAATGAAAACCAGAACATGTCCCAGAGGAGCAGTAGAGAAATCAGTGGCATTTTCAGAGACCTAGAGATGAAGAGTGGTCCCTCTCATGACTTGACTTAATTCCCCAGCCTGGCAGGATCCAGATGGAGCCTGGGGAAGAACTGTGGCCTTCCCCAGCCTTGAGCAAGTGTTGTTAATTACAGTTGTGGAGCATGGCACTTTACTAGAGTAGACTGATACAGCCTCAGATCCATGCTACGTGGTCATCAGCTTGGAGAATGTGTTCTTTTCTAACCCAATCAGGAAAGCAGGATAGAAACAGTTTATATCCACATGGAGCAGCAGAATTCACTTGCAGTTTTGCTTTAGGGCTATATTAACTCCTCCACTCCCTGTCATAATGTACTCTGAAGAGGCCTGGGCCGGTAGAAGTCCCATAGACTATTACATTAAGCCATGATATCCGTGATAACAGGCTGTTCCAGAAGGATGAATAGGAGGGTGGTGACCTGGCAGGCCCTTCCAGAGACACTTGTGCTCCTGAGAGAAGAGAAAGCCTACAGAGACCCAGGAGCCTGCCACTCAGGTAAATGTAGGGGGCATGCCAGGACCTCCCCTCCAAATAAGAATAAATTTCTACATTTTGCCTCTCCTGTTTCAAAGGAGGAGGAAAATTTTCTGTAAGGCATTTTCTGGTCCTGGAAGTAACACATCTGGGACATATAGACACAGTCACCAAACAGTACTGTCACACCAACGCTTAAAGTGAGGTGGGTCTGTTAGCAGCCTGTCCTGAGCTGGGAATCGCACCTCTCAGGCCAATCGTTAGCAGGGCCAGAAAGCCCAAGAAAACTACCCGGACAGGTAGCCTCACTGGCCGATCAAGGGGCCAGAAGAAAAGTAATTGAAATATCCAAGATAAGGAGGTTCCAGTCAGACATGTGGGATTAGATACTGCATCTTCTAGATGATCCTGGAAGTGCCCCCAAGAACAGCCCACATTCCAGGAAGGGGTTTCCCTCCCCAGCCTCTAACGCCATCCAGTGCCACCATTGAGAGCTCTGTGAGACGCTGGGCCAACCAACAGTGCTTTCCACACAATTCAGCTTCCATCCTGCAGGGACTCAAGACTGAGCCCATTCTTGTGGGATTCACTGGTACCAAAAGCTTCCACCTTGACAGAGTTGGTACTGTTCTTAGTTTGCCTTCATGAAGTACTGTTTTGGATCAGCTGTAGTGTCATCTCTGAGGCAATACCCTTTAGGGATGAGATGCTGTCCTATGGGACAGCATATATGAATTAAGCCCGAGACTTTATAGTGTCATGCTCCTGAAAGGGCAAATACAGAGTATATAATAACCAAAGGACATAAGTAGGAGAGACCACATTTATCAACACCTCTAATAATCCACTTCAGATTTTTTTCTGATCACCCATGAAACCGGACTTTTTAAGATTGTGGTTTAATTCCCAAACAGTGTACAATCTTCCAGCAGACCTGTCTTAGATACTTTGCTCATTGCTAGTACACAATACCCAATTTAAACACAATACAAGTTTATTTTAGCTTATAGTTTGTAAAGGTTTTAATCCAAGTCAGCTGGCTCCAAGGCAGGGTAGCATGGCAGAGGAGAAGCAGCACATGGCATGGCCAGCAGGAGGCGGCAAAGCAGCAAGCCTTCCTTCCCCTTTTATTCCTTTCAGGCTACAATCCCATTGGTTAGTGCCATCCACACCCAGGGTGGGCCTTTGGTGGGCCTTTCTGTAAATCCATTCAGCTACACTCAGAATGTGCTAATACAGCCAGTGGGCTAATCCAATTATCACACATCCATACTCCATATTCATATATCCTAGATCCAGTAACACACTCATGATTCAGCTACCTCCCAAAAGCTCCCCCAGCACATGAGGATTTGGCAGGGGGACACCTACATATAAGCCACAGTAAGGTTTCACTGAGATATAACTTATATTGCCTTCTCCATACTATGAAAACATTATGTCCAGGAATCATCATCAGGAGATATAATCATCTTGTCAGGGTTAATTAACACTGATCAGTGGGAAGGGACAGGAATACTGTTAACAGGTTGGGACAGGAAGGAATATATGTGAGATTCAAGGAACCCCTCCCCTTTTGTAACACAGTTCTGCTACACCTTTTAAAGGCAGAAGTGCAGCAACCCTGGCTCAGGAAGCGAATGTTCCCAGGCTCCTGGGAAGGTTCAGGTTACACTGCTGGTAGGAGCAGCAGCTGGGTGTGGGGGGACGCAGAGTGCACAGTAGAGTAGGGAGCCTGAGCAGTCATGAACCTCACTGCAATGACGGGGTTGTGTGCAGTTCTTTCCCTGGACTCCCACTTCACACTTCTTCACAGGAAGAGAAACGCCAGGCCCTGGATAGCTGTCCCCGGAGTGTGCTTGCACAGGTACATCACGCCTTGCAAGGGGTGGACTGTGGCAGACACAGACATGCTGCATTCTCCTCCTTCAAAAGGCGATTTACTATATATTTGTTAGAAAAACAGTTATCTGAAAGATTCAGTCATTAACTCCTCAGAATCCACCTCACTTTTTGAGTCAAGGTCCTGTTCATCCCAAGAAAGACTCAAATCATTGACTGAGCAAAGTGATAAAAATGTCCTTGCCATTTTCACTCAGAGGAAAATCCTGCCCCAGAGCTCACTGCTTCCTCTGAACAGTCCTGCTTCTCTCCTCCTTTAAGAGGAGTTACTCCAAACACTTTTTCAGCCTCAGCTCTGCCTTAGTACATGAGATGCTCAAGTACGTAGCATAACGATTGTTACTACAGACTCTGGATACAATAGGAAAACACCCGCAGGGTACCAGGTAGCACTTTATGACAATACATTTGAAAAGTATACAAAACAAGTTCTTAGAAAAATACAGTCATCAAAATTAAAGCAAAAATAATTTGAAATGAATGATCCTTTGTCTATTAAATAATCAAATATAAAATTAAAATTTTCCTACAAATAAAACCCCAGACCCAAATAACTACATAAATTAATTTCACTAAATATTTAAGGAAAATTACAATAGCTTTACATAAACTGTTTCAGAACAGTTTATGTAAATAGAGAATATTTTCTAAATATTTTTGTGATTCCAGAATAGTTTTGATATCAAAAGTGGATCAACAGATGGCGGGGTAGGGAAGGGGAAAGGGATGCAAACAGGAACTAAGATGTGTTAGGCACGTGTGCCAGCTCCACATGAAGGATGAAGACGCTGTACACTGTAAACGTGCACTGAGAAGGGTGGGTGGCATCTTCCTCAAGTGTTACAGGGAGGAGGTTTTGAGATGGGCAATTGCAGTGAGAAATTTCTGTCTATACAGTGCTTTCTCTAAACCCCGTAAGCTTTGGAGTGCTGTGTTTTTCTTGTCATACTTCTCAAATGTTTTATATAGTTTCCTCTATGATAGCTTCTCTGTCATACCTCCTGACTCTTTTGTTAGGAGTATTGCCACATATTTGTGAATTTCCAAAATCGCCTTTTGCTGTAGTTTTCCAGTTTTATTCTGTTGTGAAAACAAACATGTGTGCTTCTAAACATCTCTGACTTATTGAGGCTTATTTTATGGCTAATCTTAAAATCTGTCCTGAAAAAATATCCCATGGATTCTTGAGAATGTGTATTAGGCTGTTGTTGGGTGTAGAGTTCTAGAAATACAGATTCTGCCTTGGTGTAATTGGTTTAGTCTTTCAAATATTCTACTTCTTTGCTGATTTTCTGCTTAATTGCATTTTTCATTGTTGATTTGGAGTTTTTAAATGTG